CTTTTTATACATGGTTTATATAAGAAATCTATCTAAAGCGCATTGTAGGAGTAGTCATTCATTACATTGATTGTTATATTATACAACATATCTATCTTCACCTTGCATTATTTGCTTGCAAAATGTCCTTAGATATCTCTTGCTACAGATGTCATTCTCAATGCAATGGATAGTTCAATTCTTAACTTTATATGATCTATGCAAGAGGCAAGTGGTTATTGTGTTCTATAGCTCAATATTATATTTTTGACTATAGTTTGGCATAGACTAACCAATCTATTATTTTTATGGTCATAATCTTTTGATTTCAAGAAAAAACCAAAAAAATGTGAGCATGCAATAGCCCTTGCTTTTAATTTTTTTTGTCAAAATAAATCAAACAACATCAACAAACCATGCATTTCTTATTAATCTTTTAAGGAATAAATATATCTTTATAATAAAGAGGCAAATAACCAAATTGAATCTATCAACTAAGGTTTGACCTTCAAACAACTTATTTGTAATATCTTTATATACAATTTAGCTCTTTGAGTATAAATTCAGGTTTAGGGTTTAGATTTTTTGCATGTCTTTATTTGTCTAAATGGTAAATTTGCAATTGCAATTGCATCTTCAAGAATTATGGCCATTCTACTAGATGGTGGAAAAACACCACATTTTATTTTTAGAATTTCTATTAACATAAATTAAAAAATAATGTATAATTTCAAGCACATAAAGTGATATTGTTAATATAATTTCTATAAAAAAGCTCATTGTTTGAAATAAAGCATATGCAAAATATTATTATTGTACCAAAAATATAAAATAAATTTTGCAAGACCTTGTGCAAAATCTCTATATAATCTTTAGCAAAAATGTAGTCATATTTGATAGAGATTTCAATCAATGTCATGTTGTATTTCAAAGCACAAGAGCTTCTATTGTCTCATTTTCTTTAAAGCAACTACTGTTTTTTTCTATAATTTGTTACCTCAAGTTTAATAAAAATATGTAATTCACATCATATCATACTTCTTAATTCTTTATATAGTATATCTTGTACATTAATGATGGTGTGAAGTTTGTATTTGATCATTACATAAACATTGTTGATACAAAAAATAATTTTTGTCTTAAAATCATACAATGCAAATTTCAAGAGGCATTGATAGATCTGTAGACTTAATTGTGTGTTTTCATATAGTTGGCCATTCAAACAACCAAAGTATTTTGACAACTATAAACATCAATGTTAATCATATTAATACAACCATTATCAATTGCATGCATATGCACCAATACATATTTTTGTTTATAGACATTGTTGTATGTCAAGATGTCCAAACTACAATATATGGAATAGAGTTCTTTAATACTCTTAACTTGCCATGTATGTCACTTCATAGATTGGTGTTGAAAGTAGATAATCCAGTAATACTATTGTATCATCTTGATGTACCAATTGGCCTTTGTAATAGTACATGTATAATCATTGTTTGTCTTAGATATTGACTAATTATTCTTAGATCTCTAGTGAGGCTCATATTGATGAGAGAATAAAAAAATTGTAAATTACAACTTGTTGCAAGAGAGTAGATACTCTTTCATGCTTATATAACATGAGTTCTTAATTCAATTGGCCCTTGTAAGACAAAGCACAAAGACAAATTATAAACACTGTTGATGTATACCTTCTTGACCTTGCATTCACCCATGTCAACTTTATGTTGTTCTTTCTTTAATCACATAATTTGTTGATGTCTTTGTCTGCTGCATAAATAGAAAATCCACAACCAATGTTATGTATTGTGAAATACTTCAATGGTACCAAATGATTCAGACAATTATTTAGTTTGTTAAATATGTTTCTTCTAGATAAAACAATCTTTTAGTAAATACAATTGACAAATTTAATAAAAAAATTCTTTACACATCAAAGGTGCCTCAAGTTCTTTGTCTTTATATATATATATATATATATATTAACGTCATTATTACTCACAATGTTCACCATCTGTGGCCATTTTTTCTGCCACTTAGAAGAGGCAATTTTTCTACACTTGCATAAAAAACAAAATAAAAATCTACAATTATTCAAACCCAAAACATAATGATATACTCAACTAGTTGCATTAAAGAACTTCTTGCAGAAACAAAACCTCGATCCTTGCATGCCTTGTTTCCACATAAATCTGAAAATCGAACTTTGCTAAATTTTTGCTGAGCCTCTGCACATCAAATGAAATCGCATTAGTTCATCATTAGAACATCATTCCTCCAAATCACTATAACTCAACGCCTTCATTTGGACATGACCCCACCGCAAGGTACTCGATCACAACATGTCCATCGGCTTGTCGGGAAGGAGAAGCTTGGATTTCCATCAACGGGCTCCGATCCTAATCAGCAATTGAATCTACAACTTGGGGCACCACCACCACTTTGCATGCTGCGTCGGTACGCAGCTATAATGCTGGTTCCTCTCTTTACAGCGGAAGAAAATCGATGCATCGCCCAGTTACAATGAGAAATTCGATGATAGGACCATTCAGCCTCTGAGAAGATAATGTACTTGGCGGTTTGACTTTCAATCAGAAACACTGCAATCTCACACAGTCTGAAATCTCTAGCAGCGCAGCAGCAGCAACGGCACTGATCTCTAGCGAGGGTGGAACAATCACTGCGAATCGCACCTGACAACCGATGCAGCTCAGCTCGTCTCGTCGCACCCGATTCAGTGTTCGGTGTCGGTGGTCGCCGCAATAGCTTGGAAATTACGGAACCGTTGACTTCGGTACCGGAGTTTAGTCAACAGATGTTGCTCTATCCATTTGTAGAAGAACAGCTCGAGTGTCGGTGTGATGTAATTCATTTGTGGACGAGGTTTATTTTCGGTTCAATTTTTTTTAACGGTCACATCTCGGTTGCAGATCTTCACCAATTTCAGCAATAATTAGTAAATTAATTCATTATTTGCTGAAATTCTGGCATGTGAGTCGCTAAAAATAGTTGCAAATGTTTAGCTTCAAAATAGTGAACCGTCATTGGGGTGTGGAAAGTTCACTGACGATAATATTTTGTGAAAAAAACATTTGATGGCCATGATAAACATAGTTAACCCAAAGCTTCAAAGACTGCACAGTTCACATGTTTGTCTTGGTATGTTATGTATACATTTATTAAAAAAAAAATCATTTAATGAAGTGTGTAAATTTTTCTATAAACAGCAATTAAATCTTAAACTTTAGGAAAATGTATGTAAATACATGACATTGTTAATATGAGATTTTACTGTAAAAAATTGAATATTGTGTTGCTACATATTCTAATTAAAATCTAATTGTGAACCTTTTTACTTCTGTTAATGTAAATTAATTCTAAAACACTTACTTCTAAACCTATTAAACTATTAGAATAGTAATTTTTAGATGTTAAAGCTTAATTGAATCTAAACAATAAGCGACTTAATTAATTAAGATAAGTTTAATTTTAACACATATAATTCTTAAGTTCACGAAAGCACACAAAATATAATTCTTAAGTTCACAAAACAGTATTTAAATTGTAATCAATATGTTCAGTTCAATTCATTGGATATTCTAGTGGGATAAAACAAAATCACTCATTGTATATATGTAAATACATACATACATATACACACAATTCTTTCAATCATTATACTTTGTTATGTATTTATTTTAGTTGGTATTTTTAAAAAGAAGGAAGATTATTAGAATGTATTTGTAATTAAATATCTTTGTTAAGTGACAAGCACCAGTTTTTTATATTTCATTGTTTCCAAGCGAACAAAAGTGTTCAAAAACTTTCCAAAATATGAATGTCTTATTTTCCTTTGTAAATTCTCATAAAAAGTTGTGTTGACAATAATGTCTTTTTTCCATTACACACACAATACCTTTGTTTGTATGTATGTATATATATATGGATGTTATTGACAAAAGGGTGCACAGAGACACTTCCCTCAATCAGTTGGCGGGCACTGCATGCTCAACTTCGCCCATGCAACTTCTCCAAAAAGCAGTCTCTTGCACCCTCTAAATACCACAAACATCAGAAAAAAGGGGAACTACAGTTCCGGATGGAGAGGGAATTAGGGTTTCGGAAACAAGCGGGGGAAAATTAGGGTTTAGCAAACGGAGTGCGTTACGAGTTCTCCGCGAGATGACCAGCGTTGTTGCACAGAAATGGCGATGGGGGGTCCGACCAGGTTGACTCCTCCCCCTTACAAGCATTATTGCGAAGCTGGTCAATGCTTTGTTCGGGGAAGGGCTTGCCACACCATGATGCCCTTGTGGCTGGTTAAATGTTTGTATCCATTGGGTGGGGACTCTCACCGCTGTGAGCCTTTTCAACAACCCCGCTTTCTTTCCAACCTGGTCCCCTTCATATGCGAAACGGGTCCCCGTTGTGAACAACCCACAAAAGCTTGTCTAGCAACGAAAGTTTGCAACCATTTGGATGAAGGGTGGCGAGTTGCTTCCTGTAGTAGTCAGTTGCAGGATCAGAGTTTGAAACGCGACGGAAAGCTCTCCACACGTCAGAATCGACGTCTGCTCAAAGTACTATTAGAAGACGGGGAAGATGCCTGCTGTATGCACAACCTGCCAAATCCACTGTAGGGGTCAGTTAATCGTGGGTCAAGGTATTGTGGCAGAGAGATACTATTCATCAAAGCAGAAAATGTGGTCGATTGTTAGTTCCAATGTGGAAGTTATTGAATAGCACAACCGAGGGAGGCCCCTATGGCCATTCCGGAACCCTACTCACCAGCACTAAGTTACCACTGTCATGTCACTTCTGCTCAGACTTGTGCTCATAAATGCTGGCTGTCTGGATCATGAAGCGCAATCTCTCTGTGAGCCTCAATAACTACTGTCCCATGAGTTAGTTGGCAACACCCCATGCATTAACTAAACACGATCCCGATCGCCAATCGGACAGCTACGCGTCATCAGAAGTGACCCCCCCCAAAGCTCTTGCCAAGGCCGAAGCCTTCTACACACTTTCGTGGCGGGTCTCGCAAGACTTCCGCCAGCGCTTGCGGGGAATTATTCTCCCCGAGGCCTTGCCAATCTTAGGATTAGCACGAAGATTAGCGCCGTGGATGGTTATAGTGTTTTATCGGACGGCACTCAAGAATCGAGACAGATCTGGGATCCAGCATGAAACTGAAGCAAGCGACGACATGGTGTCTTACTAGTAGGGTCTTGGAGAGCGAGGGGGCTCTTGGAGGGGGATGGAAGACTTCGGAGGGCGTGTTCCAAAGAAAAGGTTGTAATTTCCTCTCACTGCACAGGGCGTGCTGATCTATGTGTAGCATATGAGTAATCCCTCACTTAAGCTGAGATTGGAGCTTGCTTCAAGTTCTCGACCGAGTTTACGAAACTCGAGGTTTGTTGGTTACAGACAGAGTTGTTGATTCTGACAGACGGACGCATGCATATGCACACGCACAGAAGCAGAGTTTGAGTTTGATGGTTGCAAGCAGATAGGCTGATTGTGACTAACATGTACTTAGAAGGAAAGCTTGTTAGAGAGAGGTGTTAGAGACGGAGATTAGAGAAATGTAATGTCGATTCGCACGACTTGACTTAGGCAGTGAGTGGCAGGTGATGGAGTAGACGTGTGTCGTCCTTCCCCGTGGTGATGACATTGTAAGGCAACGACACGTCATTGTGGGAATCTCTGCACTGCTTCCAGGGTTTTGAGCCATTCTTGGCGTTGGAGTGTCTTGTCATCACGTGAAGGCGGTGTTTATTTCCCCTCTTACTTGGTGGGTGCTGATTGATAAGCTTGCTCCGCCACTTTATATCTTTAACACTTATTTTAGATTAACAATTTTGTAGGAATTATGAAAGAAGGAGCCAGAGGGTTCAAGAGTTTAAGAATGGGAAAATTGGAGAATCGTAGAGGGGATAGGTTGTAGATTTGAGAGGGAGGCTGACCAGTTTGACTACTGTTGGATTAAGAGCCAAGTTTTGGGAGATTGTGGGGTTAGATTTTGATGACGCTTGTGGTGGTTTGGATCTTGCCGCTCCGTTCCTTGCTGTGAGGCCATTTCAGGTGAGAGGGAGCCAGTAGGTTGGGTTTGGATCCACGTTTGTGAAGCTGAGGTGTGAGCTTTCAGCGCCGAGGCGTGTGCAGGAATTGCGTGATTTTGTACCTGAGGATGGCATACAGGGTTGCAGGGATTTGTTACCTCTCTTAGATCTGTTTTCTCGAGGTTCAGAGGTTTTGATTATTGGGTTGGACTGCTTATCAGAATGTAAATATCGCGAGAAAGGATTGTTAAAAATTGGTCACGTGAATTGGGTTGTTGTAACAGGGGAGGGAGAACGGGGCTGCAGGAGTTCGTTGCCTCTCTTAGATCTATTTTCGTGAGGCGCTGAGGTTTTGACTTCAGGGTTGGACTGCATGTTAATTTTCCAACCTCGCAAGAAAGGATTTCTAGTAATTGGTCACTCGAGCTTGGTTGGCTTTTCGTCCTGGAAGTGGTTGCTCTCTGGTTCAGAAGTTCAGTTGGGGATAGCAGGTTTCGTCTCCAAGCAGTCCCCAGAATTTCACATAGTGCACAGATTCTGCAGCATTTTAGGGGATCATAGGTTCAGGTGGCCGTAGGCAATCTGATAACAGGAGGAATTATTAATTCTCTATGACTAGCCTTTGAAGATCCTTGTTCTTTGAGAAGTTGTAAAAGGCAGTTAACGAAATTACAGGAAGAAATTGCCGCTTGGAGATCAGTATGAACCCCTCACGATGTATAGACTGCAGTACAAGGAGAGTTTCGAAGTAATGGCGGGCTCAAATTCTGTTTTTCTTCCACCTCCTGGCGTGGTTACCATACATGACCGACATTGGAAGCAAGCACTACACTTGTACGCATTTCCTCTGGCTTTTCATGTTCTTCTCACTGGATATTGTGGGAATCCGGATTAGGTGATCGGAGAGCTCTGGATTAAGCTAGGGCCTCCTATCTGTATCCTTGCGTTAGAGGGTTTAATTTTTTGAAAGTATGTCATTGAAGCTGAAGCAGAACCAGTCGCTAGTTTGGTATTGAATTCAGCCTTGGATCAGAGGAGATTTAAGTGGTTTTGTTAAACCGCTGCATTGAGGAGCTGAACTGGGTTTATAGTTGGTGCGAACGGAAGACAGAATTGGTCATGAATGAGGTCGGTGACATCGCTTTCGTGCTAAGCACTGATTTCCTCACGTTATACTATCGAGTCTTGTGAGAAAGCATGGATGGTAAAATCGGATCGGAGGATGAGTTTCACGAAACTTTGGAAGATATTACATCGGCATCAAGTTCAGAGGCTGAAGAGGGTGGTCGAAGAGCTATGAGAGCGGGTATAGCCGGAGTTGCTCCGGCAACTAGCCGTGAACGGCCGCCCGTTTGGACACCTTCTTCATTTCATTCCAAGTTTTCAGTGTGGAAGAATGATCCCAGTAGTATTACTGATCGCAGGCAGCGATTGTTTCAAAATTGGGGAATAAAAAATCTCAGAGAGGACCCCAGTACTGGTTCCACATCTTCACTGGCGAACAAAAGTTTGTTGACATCAGGAGCTGACAAGGTTGGCCAGTATGTTTGGAAAGTATCTCAAAGTGTCTCTTGTGTATCTTCTGCAGATACTGATGTGAGTGGTAGTCGTTCCCTTTTTTCTTGTTCAATTTGTTGAGTTACCAACTGTTGAACTTGTTGCGGAAACTACTTTTGGTTTTACCTGACCTTAGAAACTATTTCAGGAAAATAATCACACTTTAATATTACTGAAATCGGGGGCTTCTTGGGAAATTTAACTGTACTCAGTTATACACTCGTTTTAAGTATTGGATGTTTCAGAAAGCTTAAACTTGTCCGCCATTTAGACTCTTTTCACTTGATGATTTGCAGTTGGAGGGGTTCTTAAAACCTTACTCTCAAACGTCTTTTGAGACTTCAAACTTATGTTGAAGTGATTTCCATGTAACAACCATGTAGGGTGTGGTATACTTTGCCATTCTCTATTTTGTTTTTGTTTTTTAAAATTTCGGAGTGTGGACTTCAGAGTTAAGTTGCTTTAGTTGAATTGCACTGAAGCAAGTCTTCAAATGACAGAATTTGTGGACGTCTCACTCCGTCAGGGGGACTGAAAATCGAGATTGGTCGATGTTGGACTGAAATAGATTATAGGACTCATGTGTCTGTATTTTTTTGTGTGCAGGAGACATCAGCTCGTGAAACATTAGCAGAAAAGAGAGCAGACTCTAACACTGTAGAGAACGGCTTCGCGATCGATTCTGGCAATAAGCGACTGGAAGAGAACAGTGGTGCAGTTCTGAGGGAAGGGAATAGCAAACTAGGTCCTGTGCTCTCTAGATTAGGTCCAGTGTCAGCAGTGACGTTTCGTGAGGGATCCAATGGGAGCACATTTAGGAGCTCTGGAAACAGTCCTGACGTTAGTCCCTATCCAGAATGTCACACTAAATTGATGGCGAGCCCTGAGGGTAGCCTTTCGCCTCTTTGGGATGGCTGCGCAAACACGGAAGCTGGACACCTGTACCAAGCGTCCAGTTCTCAGGAAAAATTGTCACATTCATATGATACTGATAATGGCTATGAGACTAGAAGTCAAGATGGGTACAGTGCAGCTGAAGACTACAACATCGACGATTTGTTGAAGATCAAAGACTTGGACAGTGGTAAGGAGTTTTTAATTAATAGGTTCAGCACAGATGGGTCACTGCATATGCTGAGGGAGGTTGATACAGGTAGGGAGCTGACTTTGGCAGAATTTGAGAAGGTTGTGGGTCTTTCTCCAATCACGCAGGAGATGATGAGACGGCAACAAGCTGCAGAGAGTGGGTCTAGCAATGAGAAGCAGGGATCAGGGAAAACCTCGGGTAAAAAGAAAAATGGTTGGTTGAAGTACTTTGTGGTGAAAAGGTCTACAAAGGAGAAGCCTGTAATAGGAGGTAGTACAAGAAGTGATAAACAATCCCTCAGCGGTGAGGATACAGATGGCTCCACAAAGGGAGGAAGACTTTCTCCAATTGGATCTTCGAAGGGAGGTAACTCTAGAGAAGGTTCATTCGCCGATCCTGACAGGGATGTATCTACCAAGGGCGAGCTTCCATCTGATGACACTGCTGGCCCTACTTGGAGGCAACCTCAGAAGGTAAAAGTCAAGCTGCGTCGGAAATCTGTCAAAGAGCTTTCAGGCTTATATATGGGGCAGGAGATTCAAGCTCATCAAGGGGCGATTTGGACTATGAAGTTCAGTACTGATGGACGATACCTCGCTAGCGCTGGTCAAGACCGAGTGATTCAAGTCTGGGAAGTCGTGGATCATCCATCTGTTTTGGAATCTGGTATGCCTGCAAAATATATCGTTATTGATGACATTATTTTGTACACTTGCTACGTTGGTGTTGTTAATAGACTATCTATTTCTGTCTTAAATTCTGAGGCTTTTGTGCAGATATCTCTGGAGGACAGGAGAATGGAGATTTTGATAATGGAGTACATCTCCAGGTGAATGGCGGTTCCGTCAAGAATGGCAGTGTCAAGGTTGGTCAACACTATAGTTCCAAGGCGGATAAGGAAGGAAGTACGAAGGGTGGTAAGATAGAGAACACTGAGGTAGAAAAAGACGGAAATACCAAGTTTTCCAAAGATAGTAGTACCAGGAGTGCCAAGGAAGGAAGTACAAAGGGTGGTAAGATAGAGCACACTGAGGTAGACAAAGACGGAAATACTAAGTTTCTTAAAGAGTGTAGTACCAGGGGTGCTAAGGAAGGAAGTACTAAAGGTGTAAAATCACCATGGCAAGATTTGAAATTAGGCCATCCGCACAAAGGTCATTTACCGAAGCTCTTCTGGCTGTCGGAAAAGCCCGTGTGCTCCTTCCATGGCCACACGGGGGATATTTTGGATTTGTCATGGTCGCAGTCCAAGGTACATTTGAGAGCATAAGCTAGTTTTTGAATTTCTGTACAGAGTGGCTCTTAATTTGTATGAGGGATTGTTACCATGTCGGTGTTGTGTTGAATTGTTATTTCAGTTTTAGTAAATACTGTGTTGCTCTGTCTGGCAGCTTCTTTTGTCTTCATCAATGGACAAAACCGTTCGGTTGTGGCACATTTCGGAAGAGGATTGCTTGCGGGTGTTTTGTCATAATGATTACGGTAAGTAACACTCTTTCTATCTACCTAGTTTCTTTCTCTCTCTCTTCTCTCCCTTGGGAGTTACTCAGCTGCTTTTAACACTTTCTGGTATCTGCATTGAGTGAACTGCCATTTTGGAGGTCCTTATACTTAAGTTCTCTTGATTGTCCTCAGCTTTGAGGTCATAAAACATAAACTTCAATTCACGTGAGCATGGAATAAGTCTTAATTGCGATTGTAAGTAGAACGGTTTTCTGTACTGCATGATTTACATAGTTTCTGAGAAAGACTTAGAGGGATGTTTCTTATCGACGAATTGTTTTGTAACAGTTCTCCTCTAACATGACTTGGAATGCAGTAACTTGTGTACAGTTCAACCCAGTTGATGATAGCTACTTCTTAAGTGGATCCCTGGACTACAAGCTTCGGACTTGGAGCATTCCTGGACATCAAGTTGTTGACTGGATTGATCTGCGCGAAATGATCACAGCAGTGTCCTACGTTCCTGATGGAGAGGTATCTATATATTTTCTATTGATTGTGATTGCAATAAATCAAGGAAGTCTGAGCTGTTTATTTCTGGTGGAGGATCTAATCAAGCACTTCGTCTCGATTCCAGAAAGCAATTGTTGGTTCCCACAAAGGGACTTGTCGTTTCTACAACACCAAAGGTTTGTGTTTTTCCGTTTTCGTGTGCTCCGTGATATCTTGATGTGTAGACTTTGCATAGTGGTGGTTTTACTTTCTTAGATGCTTGTTCGTTTGGAGTGTTTGTGGTTCATTTCAGAAGAGAAATTATTTCTCTTATTTTACAAACATGTTGCTGGAGTTTAGAAGACTGAGATGGAAGTTAGTTTTACAGGAAACAAGTTGCAGCTTGATGCTTCTTTTGATGTTCGCACTGAGAACAAGAAAGGAAGAGGGAAGAAGATAACTGGACTACATGTAAGATAATTTCAATGATACTGCCTTTTCATGGTCTTAAGTAGTGCCATGTGTTCGTCTTATGATACTCACGTCTGTTGTAGTTGGACTCAGTTTGAGTGTGGTTGTACAATCAGTTTCTCAGTAATTCTGCCTCTGAATTTTATGCTGAGTACCATTGCTGTAGGTTAACGGATGTACACCTGGAGTACGTTCATCTGTACCTGATAGCTTGTCATGTGGTAGTGTATGCCTGGAGATCCGCAGAAAGTTCTCGTAACTTCAAATGACTCTCGCATTAGAGTCTACGATGGCATGGGACTTTGCGCCAAATACAAAGGTTTTCTCAACTTTACGGTGCTTATTTCAGTTTGGAAGTAGTCTGCTTTGTGCGTTTCTCCTTTCCTGGACCTTTACACCCCATCAATCTCATTCGTGGATCTGTGTCTGATACACTTGAATACTTGCAATTATTGTTGCCATGACCAACTTGTTTGCACATTATTCTTTGCTCTAATTCCTCTGATTTACTGATCTCAATGTAGGTCTGAAGAATATAAACAGCCAAATCTCAGCGTCCTATACTCGAAATGGAGACTACATCATCAGCGCAAGCGAAGATTCTCGAGTTTTAATTTGGAGTTCGGATAACAAGGACCCGTCCTCTGCCAAGTCGCTTTATGGAAGAGACAAGCAGCTGGCTTGTGAAGAATTCAGCTGCCGTTTCGTTTCATTGGCTATACCGTGGCCGGGAACCAGAAACTACTCAAGTTTTTCACAGCCGGATATTGGAACCCCAGCTGGGTCTGACTCGAATGGCGACGCACGTGCTGCAAGTGAAGCTGAGTTTTCTTCCCCACCAAACTGCGCGGACTTGGAACAGTCCGACGACAAATTTGATTGCTCTGACAGGTTTCTAAGTTGCAGGGATCCCTCAGACAGGTTTCTTAGTTTTAGGGATCAAGTTGACGTAGATGAAGACTCTGATTCTATTGACCAAGTTGATAGTGCGAGGTTTGAAAATCAGGGTTCTCTCTCAGGTGATGGCGAGAATTTTTTTCCTCAACCACAGTCGTGCAGGAGCTTCTTTGATAGCATTGGACCAAATGGATCGACCACGAGATGTTCGGGAGAACAGCCTCCTGCATCCGGCAGTCCTTTGTCCTCTGGGTTTGGCATGATGCGCTCAGCCTCGCTAGGAAGTGATGATGGCAGACGCATTGTTGAAGATACAGCTCCAGCGGAAGACACTCCTGCAGTTTCTGCTCTCTGGGGTTTGGTGATTGTGACTGCAGGGTTGGATGGTAAAGTAAGGACATTCCAGAACTATGGCCATCCTGTCCGGCTTTGAGTATGAGTAGCTTGCGTTTGATTCAGCGCTAAGGATGAACGATTTTTTGTGTTGCAACGGCTTATCTCCTTCAAAGGGATCAATCACAAATTGTGATTATCAGTTCTTTCTGCTCCCAAGTCACCTTGTATTCGGATCTTGTATCGTAAAGAAAGTCATAAGCTTAAGTGTGGCTGTTTAGGACAATTCATTGTTTTTTTTTTTCAACCCTTCTGCAAGTATCTTGCATTACCCATGTTGACTCACGAGCTGTAATCGCTATCAGGTATTTTCATCATAAACAACAGCTATGTGTTTACCTTTTTGATTGGAAACTCCACTGGGTTGACCACTTAGTAACATTTGTCACTGCATGCCATCATGCTATTCTCAGAGTGCATGGTATAATCCTGTGACAGAAGCTGAGGGTTGATGGATTCTTATGGCAAGTATGCTTTGTGACAAGACACAAGGTGTTTTTATTTGTGAATGAAAACATTGATTCAAAGGAGAAGCTGCTAGTAGTTACAATTTTAGAATCTGCAACTGTGTCATAATGCAGAAAAACATCACTTTTGAGTTATTCCGTGTTTAGGTTACATTCAACAAATTTATCAAATCTCAGCAAATATTATGTCAGCCACCTCAGCTTCTAAGGCATGAAATGTGAGTTAAGGGATGATTGAAACCTCTGCACTGGCAAGACAACAAGCTCATTTTACGGTTGCAGCAAGACGCCACTGGCAGACAATCGAACATTGCTTTGAGCCGCCGTGAGCTAAGAGCGATTAGGCACACTTCCACATAATGTCCAGTTTGCGTTTTCCCATCCTGAAGCAAGAGGGTTAAGGCAGGCTATTTTCAAATACAAGCAGAACTTAAGGTGATTCTACAGGCCGAATTTAAACTGCAGCAAACTTTTGGGTTCGGCACTCGATTGGCTCACCGATTATATAGCGAAATTGAAGACGTCTGGTGACCACATACGTCAGAGTTTTCCCTTCAGAGACCTGTTCATGACCACGAATTTTTTTCCGCTGAGTGGATGTGAGAATCACCCACGTCACCACCCGGAGTGTTCCATGCACACTCTACCGGTTCCGTCAAATTCGTACCCATTAGATAAACCCGCAAGGTGAGCGTGGCAGAAGATCGGCCGTCAATGTTCGGATCGATTACCCCAGCCACGGTCAGAAAAGTCTCTAGTTGGGTTGTTGATTTCCTCATCCCCAGAGTGAATGGATATGGCCACTTGAACCCGGCAGTCTGCCACAGAGTTGTGCATTTGCAGTCCTCGGTGGTGGTGGTGAGTTTTGAGAGGGTCATCGGAGATTAGGAGAATGGCTACCGCAAGCATTTCCGGCTCCAAGGTCGTCTTCTCTACGCAGGTGCCGCTAGCCCAAGCGCCCACAGTCGAGCAAAAGACCTCGGTAGCGTTTAAGAAGCCTGCAGCATTGTCGTCTGGTCAGGTACTCTTCTGCAAGCATTGTAAGCATGCTTCGAAGCATGTTCGTGATGTGTCGTTTCCAGCACTGTACGAGGTGCGGAAGTGTGGCTTGTTGCCTTGATCTGATGAATTGGACGTTCTTGAGGAATGGGTAATTGGAAGTAAGGGTTAGTGACTGGTAGACACCAAGAGGAAGCCTTAGAAGCCTTCGCATTACTCCTTTTAATGGGTGGTTCCGGTTCTGGTAGTGTTGACACGCAACCCAAACCAACACATTCTCCATGTCGATTTGATTTGCAACTAGTTGTAATGAACTTTAGATTAGAATGTCCTGGAATTGTGTCTTATTTTACCAGGTCACAAACTAGTTAGTTGAGTTCTGGAGTTTGATTTCCTTCTCTGAATATTGATATAGTGTCCGATGTCGTCCTCTTGCGGTCCTGTTTAATTCGAAAACAGAAGTACGGAATAGAAGCTGGTAAAATCCTTGCACTTTTCGTAATTGCTTCTCATCTGCCTGGAAAATTCCGACGGAGAATATGTTTGCGGGATGAAAAGGTCGCACCAGCACGATTCATCTGCAGTAGTCGGAATGTGACAGTGTCAAATTTCACTCTCTGACATTAGTGATACCAGAGGCAGTTTCTCTTTCATCTATTAAATCTATGTTTTGAGAAAAATTGTGTTTCATGTTGTTGCTGAACAGATTTATGGGCTGGGAGCATCTGGTTCCCTCGCCAACAAAAATGAACTCCGAATCGCTCGCGCTTCCTCCAATTCTAGACAAGCACCCCGACTTCGTCTGGAGGTTTGTCATCAACTTAAATCCTCAAACGTACAGCATAATCTTAGTACAATGTGATGGTGGGATTGTTCATGAATAATTTTATGATTGTCCTTTTTCTTTGTGCAATCCTTTGGTTTCGCTTTCTCCTTAAGTTTTTGGAAGTATTATTTGCATACGCTTCTTTTAGTAATTACTGGTTTTGAAATCGTGAAAATTCACATGTTTTCTGTGTCCCAACAATCTAACTGAGGGTAATTACCTTCAACGCAGGTAACGGCCAAAACTGCAGGAGCTGCGAAGCAGTTCGAGACAGAGGTTGACAAGCCTCTTGGACTTGTTCTTGGGCAGAACCCTGGCGGTCGGGTCGTAATCACGGTACGGGGATATATTTTATCCTTGAAGCCCTGAAGAACCATGCATGTAGAAGATAGAATGCGCCATGCGGTTTCATTAGGGGTTCAATGTCACACTTCTCTAGTTTTTTTAGCTTAGAACAGTGCAGTATGCATTGTATGCTTCTCACAGAATGAGTACACGCATATGTACCTGTTTTCTCTGTAGGCGTCTTGTTAAACAGGAATTCTAAATATGCCATTTATTCACAATTTCAGCACTTCGTCGTAGAACTTGAGTTATGGTCTCTGAACATGGCTTGCAGCAAGTAGATGCTCGAGGAAACGCGGCAAAAGCAGGCTTGAAGGTAGGCGACCAAGTGATCTACACTAGCAGTTTCTTTGGTGATGAACTCTGGCCTGCGGACAAACTTGGTTTCACCAAGACGGCCATCAATGCCAAGCCAGACTCGGTCTATTTCGTCGTAGCCAGGTGAAGTTCAAATCTGTTTATATTTATGATTCTTGATTAATATGAAAAGCACCCAGCATGTAAAGAGCGATGATCTATTACTTTCTCAATATCCCTTAGTTTACAATAGCTTAATGCCCAGCAAAGCCCCCAAGACGTGGTCGTCTATTCATCCCCATTTTCGAAGAGATATTTCAATGGTCAGCGTGTAACTCCATTTGATCATGTCTGTTTGCTTTTCTCCATTCAGAGGAGCGGACGTAGACGTCAAGAGGCTTCCGAAAAGACCAGCGCCTCCCCGATTTGGAAGGAAGCTAACTGATGCACAAAAGGTGAGGCAGGCAGCTAATAGATCGTCAAAATTCCGCCATTGAGGGATTTAAATGCGTCGTGGTTTTTTCCTCAGTAGATACAAAATACTTAACTTAGTGCCTCCATCGGATGTAGGCACGGGCAACGCACGTGTGTCTTGACTGCGGATACATCTACACTCTCTCCAAGTCATTCGACGACCAGGTAATCTCCAAACGAAGCACCTCAGCTGATCCCCACCTCTTAGGAAGATTTGCGGTTGAATGCATACTTGATGTCTGTCCTGTAGAGCTGGCCACTATAGATATGGCCCGGCTATGAATGATGTCTTTGAGTCCTTCTATAATGGAACGTTGGATCTGAGTTCTACTTTGAGTGCATGTATGGTTCAAAATGAGTCGGTTTCATCACATGAATTCAGCGATATTAGGTCCAATGATTACGTTTCGGAACTAATGTTTTTATGGTCTTGTGTTGGCTTCAGCCGGAAGACTGGCAATGTCCCCAATGCCAGGCTCCAAAGAAGAGGTTTGCTGGCTATGACCCTGAGACAGGGCGCACCATTGGAGGACAGGCAACTCCTATCCCAGTGCTTTTGGGAGTCGTTTTTGGGGCTGCCGCAATCGGTGCCATACTCTTCTTTGGTCTGCAATAGGTCCTATCTTATTTGTCGAAAAGCAGAATTGGAACCCATCATTATCTCGTTCAACACAGACTCTGAGAATTCTGAATTTCCAAGCCGAAGGATGTAGAAACTTTTACCTTAGGACTGCAGCAGATTGTATCACTTGGTATTCTTCAAGTGGACTGAATCTTCGGGTGTCTGAGCTGATGATGATTTTCTCCAATTTTTTTCCCTCTCTTTTATATTTCTTAGTGACGTATCTGTGCTTCTACTAGCCGCTGCTGAAACGTGCCAAGGGCATGACTGGTTCCTGCTTTCTGAGTAGACTTTCTATCAGTCACTGAAAGTGGTAAGTTCAGTGCTTGTCAGCTATCCATAACTACATTGATAATTGTTTCGCTAAATGGTTATATATATATATATATATATAATCTTCAATTTTTTTTTTCTATAATTGGTATCAAATATACATTCTAGCTGGAAGTCAATTGGTTGATTACTAAGATATATGGAAGAAATTTCGCCAGTACTAAATACACTTTTCATGATTTACTACAGTATTATATGTCTAGTTTTCACATAAAACATTAACTTTTCATTTTTCACGAAATATTCTACATGAATTATTCTAAAAATGCCTAAATCAAATTTCTAGTAATAAATGTTCATCTACCGCATGGGCTAGGTGTCTTTATCATGTACATCTGTTGCACTCCCCTCCATCTTCTCCCAGCCCAAATCCATACTCGGCTCTATTAAGATTGGCATTAACAACATTTAAACAAATGAAAATGAAAATGGAAATGTTCTTCAATTTATTTACAAATAGATGCTTCTAGTTTAAATTTATTATTAATAGCAATCGTATATAAAGTTAAAAAGTACTTCAATGTTAACCATATCAATTACATCCTAAGTTTACTTTGAAACATGCTTATTACGTAACATTTATGAAAAGTAATAATTATCGGGTTTAAATTTCTTCCAATAGGACTGTTATGAAGTAATATGTATGCATTCAATTATTACTTAAACCATATACATATACAAAAATTACAAGTATGTAGATCTTTGATAATGGGATTAAAATAACCAAGGAATTTAAAAAAAAATACCCCTTGCATCGCATCGTGTATGATTGAGTATTATGAGTTTTGTCGTCCATTTTCTTTGAGGATCTTCCTACAGCCTCGACTCTTGTCTTCGCCCGACGCCCAACACCAAGTATAAGATATGACCACTTTAAGAATAAATTTGGATACTCAACATGTGAGGGGTACATTTAAAAATTTCCCAAAAATCATTGACAATAATGTGCCCATGTGTCATTTTCAATTACATACTAATTTTTTTGAAAACTAACTTTGCACTAAGCAATTAAAAATTTAAATACAAATTAATACATGTTATATATTAAAACAATGATAGAAAGTATATATTGATTAAATCTATAAAAATAAATAAAAGAATCAACCAACTTAACAATTTCAGTACCCTTTTACACGAAATAAGCAAATAAAATGTCTCTAAAAAAATCAAAGAAGAAGAAAAGAAAAGAATTAAAATACTTGTAAAATACATCAATATGTATAATAACTTACTTAAGTTTTTAGTAAGGTTAAAAAAATAAAATAAGTGGCAAAATCAAAAACATACTAATTGCCAACTATTTGTATAAACTAGTCACTTAAATATAAAAAAAATTATAAAGTACAATTGTTTTGAAGAGAAGACCGAGTACAAGATTGATATATCACACCTAATTTAGTTTTTTGGAAGTGAGGTAATTGTTCTCGTTTATTGGCAAGAGACAGGAAGTGGCACATACCACACCATGACTTCCAAAGCACTCAGCATCCCTGAGAATGAAGCTCCAATTTTAATCTCCGAAAACCCTAATTTTTAACACCGACTTCATGACGACTGCTCCGGCAACGCATGTCATGGTTGCGCTCGAGCTCTGCGGGAGTCTGAAATTGAGCTTTGGTCTCGGTAATGCCGCCGCTGGTACTCCTCCATTCTCCTCCAACACAGGGGCGTGCACTATTGAGGGAACACGCACTCCCCGAAACCTGAGAATCACGATATGGGTTGGAAATTTGTTAGTGATCCGAGTTTTGAAATGCACATCACTCAACAAACCCCGCGGACTGCAATCGCGATCTAGGCATCTGCAAACTGGGGTCCGGTTTCGAGGAGGACGAAGAATGTGTGCGAAGTTTGTAGATGCTTACTGGGATCGGTGGAGGTCAAGACGCCTGCGCCGTCAAAGGAGCAGCTCGCGCCAGCGCCCTTATATTTCTGCCAGTAGCTGTTGAACGCCCAATCCGCATGCCTCACTAGGGTGTTGGGAAGATAACAGCTCTGGCCTGGTTGAATGGCCGCGCAAAACTCTGCGTCTGCACCACAAGCAAAGTTGAAGACATTCTCAAGCGTGACGGGATCCGAAGCCGGATTGTCGATGCATCATGTGCCTGACCCGGACACAAGTGGCGAACTGTCGCTGCTAGGACTGTTTTGACTGTCGGAGAGCTGGCCCGTGAGGTCTAAGGCGTACACTTGGGAAAGGTTGGGGTAGAGAAGTCCCCAGTTGCGCTCAGAGCCGGCTCCAGGCTTGAGGTTTTCGTTAAAAAGAGCGAAAATGTAAGATGGGATGATGAAACCAGGCCGGCTAGGAGTGCCGATTTGTGTTGTGGACAGTGCTTTGCGCACCAATCGCCGATTGTAAACTGCAGCGTTGTCGATTGGGGCGTGAACTTGTGTTGGGTCGCCGGCTGTGGGCCATCCAGTCTCCCCCACGGCGATGCGCAAGGATGCGAACCCCAGCTTGAAAGAAGCAGCATACACTGCGTCCAGCTGCGCGTCCATGAGATTAGTATACGTGAGAACGCCATCTACGACGTCGTTTGTTGAGTTGGCAAACATGGCGTAGCTGAGGCTAATGTCAGAGCTGCTGGAACAAGTCAGGAATGGATACACGTTCACGAACAAGTAGGAACTTGTGGTAGTGAGGAATGTGAGCAGGGGCTGAATGATATGCGTGGCAATATCCGAGCGAAATGATCCTGCAGAAGGGGGGAAGGAAGAAGTCAGCACGTCCAGTGCTACAGCGGTGGAAATCTTAATCTGTCCCGACCATCCGAGGCTCTCAAGCGCGGCGTGAAGGTTCTGGATCGCTGGGACAAGTGACGTCCATGTCGATTGAAAAATTGTTCCAGTGAAGATCTCGTTTCCGACGAGGATGACCACGATGATGGTTGCGGGATAATACGCTGCAACGTGCTGCTGAACCCACGCATTGGCTGCGGAGGGGCTTGCTCCAACCTCGACAATTTGCTCATTCGGAACCGCCACCACGACCTCAATGCCGGTATTCGCAAGCGCAGTCAGGATTTTCTCATTCGGATTGAAAATCTTCACTCTTCCAAATTTCATTGTCTTGATGGCTGCGACTGCGTCGGTAGGACTTGGAAGGTTGTCGCCAAGAGTTCTGTAGTTGATGCCTAAGGTGCGAAACTGTTGCGCGTATCCGCCTGCAATTAGATATATGCAAATTAAGCGCCTTCAGCGCATTCACAACTTCATGCTCCAGAACTTTTTGCATGAAACACCTTATATCAACAATTCTCTGCCTCGTACTCCCTCTGTTCATCGGTTTGGATCATATCACTGAAAGTTCCGTGTTTCGAATCAGTGAATAGATCACAACCATCAGCGGAGCTTCTCAAATGTCCATTGATCGAGGTCTTTCAGATCACTTAGTGCAATTCAATCATTTAAGAGCATCAATCTTTTACGGAGTCGAAAGAATAAGAAGCCAATCAATTTAAAATTACGAAGAATTTGTGTGTCTTACTGTCAGCGGGAGTTTGTGCCCAGCAATGCCAAATAAACAACACCAGGCATAGTGAGAGTGAAAAGGGTGGCGACATCTTTGAATTCATTGAGTACAAATTTCCTCGAACGCTCAATGATCCGAGCTGCCTCTTCCTTTACCCCGCAAGTCGGTATCTCTTTACAGTTCGTGTGCTCATGTCGTATTTCTTTCAACGAAGAATGCAAAGGTTATCTAAGTCCTTTGAAACAAAAAGAATGTGCTTTCCAGTATTTTGCAATTTCAGGCCAGACATCAGATCCAGGAGAGATCCTAGGACGTCATTTGCCCAGCTCCATTGAGTGCTGATGGAAATCAAGACGCACGTCCGACCTTCGCCGAGACTGACCAAGAACCTCCCTTGAGACTTAGCATCGTAGCTTTCACAACGTAATTACGCCTTGCTATGTCCTGAACTGAAACATCGCGTAAGCTCTGAAATGAAAAACTTGTTCCTCTCAAAGGACTCAAAAGAGTTGCGAAAACCAAAATCAAAGACAGCAAGTCTGTGAAAGTTCACAATCCAGCTGCTCAATCTAAGAAACCTCATGACAATTAACTGTATGGACAAGCTGGCTTAAGTTTACAGGCTCGAACGATGGCTTTGTGACCAACACTCCAACGGACAAACTAGACCTTGACAAGTAACTCTTCATACCACCGCCATTATCAACCAGCTCAAAAGTTCGATTCAATCCCTCAATGGCGGATCGATGTCTCAAATCTTGTGAATGACCAAAGATCTTGGTGATGAACTGTCACAGTGGTCACTGAAGCATGTACAATCCACCAGCTGCGTCGTCTGCACCTCACAGAATGTGTCACAATGCTGGCGAATCGATTGCAAAACAAACAACCCGTCACGAGATGATGCAACTCTTTTACACGTCATGAGGTTTATTTTGACTGGAAGCGTACAGCAATGCCTTCTATACCCAACGACCGAGGTCTTTATATTGTTCGACTACGTCAAGGCCCCCTCCTGCGCAGCAATTTCACCAGACGAGCGCACACTCAACGTGGCTGTTAAGTGCAAGTAAACTCCTTGAAAAAGAGCAAAAGATTTGCAGGAGGTACATGGGACTACCACCGATCTGTACGCTATCTGCCACGAATTCTCCAACTTCAATCTCTCGGGGCGTATTTAAACGAGAAAATCGAGGTGAGATGGTCTTCTCTCGCATCATGAAGTTCATGAAATTCTCTGAATTAGTTGGGGTCTTCCCAAGCTGGGACCCCATTCTCTCTCTCTCTCTCAATCCCACCCTCAAATCCCGAGCAAGCGAAGGTACATTTTTGACTTGCCAAAAAGCCATCCATTCGAGAAGATTCAAACATTACTGAACCCAATGTCCACTCCGCAGGCCTCGCAATCTGCACTTTTCCTCTGACCCTACGAACACGCCACGAGAAGTAAGAATGTTCTCTGATTGCAAGCGACTCGATCAAACTGCGCGTCGACTTGGCACTTGCCGAACTGACAGCAGCTGATTGATTCACAACAGGTAAAACCCAACCAACGATCGGAGAAAAAGCACACTCATTAAGTATGTCAAGGAACAGCTGGAGCCATATCCTAGCGAAGCAATCAGCGATGACGCTTCCTTCCGACTGCGCACATTTCTCAAACCACCATCGCACAGAAGATATCCGCAGCCATCGCATGACAAACAACTTTGACTCACGCATAGCTGCCACTGGATTTCTCACCGAGCACCATGTAAACAGGATCGACGCGGGGACATGTCGAGCATCTCCGAAGGAAGAAGAACCAATCAATAATGCAAGTGCACAGATTCGAGACACTCTAACCTGTAAACCAAACCCTAATTCATTAGCGCGATAGAGTTTGTGTGGAAATATTTATGGGACTTGGAGCAGTAGAATGGTTTGGAATGGCATGTAGAAAATGTTTTAATAAAATCCATGTAAACCAATGGTTGAATAGTCAATCAATTAGTTGTTGACACTTTCTATTAGTCATTTTCTTGAAGTGAAAATGATTTCTTTCAATGGTAAAATATATTTATTTTTACGGACTTGTTAAAGCCATTTCCCACTTCATGATCAATTTTGCACATGTCCTTTGTCCCCAACCTCATTCCAAATCCTCCTCCCTCGTTTCCATCCAGTCCCCACCCACTATGACCCCACCCCACCCCATCTCCACCTTGCCCAAATCCACCTCATCTCCACCTCCACCCTTGTCTCGGGAGTTTTTTATTTTTATTTTATTTTTATTTTTTAAATGAATTAATCATACATGTTTTAGAGTTTATCAAGTAGGTTTTAATTAGCTGAATTTTTTTGATACAAGTTATTGTGGTATTAGATTGGCACACTAACATGATGTATGATACTACTTGCAAAAATAAAATTAAAAATTAAAAATTCAGCTGTATGAAGAAATGAATTGTCATGAAATAATAGTTTTTGTCATTGTATTTATTTTTAATTAATTAATTAACATGATTTTATTATTATTAATTAATTTTCTATTTATATTAGATTTTGAAAAAATATGTTTTACACGATGGTAGTGCATATCAAGTTGTTGTCTTTTTAGATTAATGTATGTGTCCACACATCTATACAAACAAATAAATGAATAACCATTAAAAAAACTCAAATAACAATGAGAGTGTGATATTAATTATCAACAATTGAATTGAATACTACAATGTCCCTCAATAAAAGGTTATATATATATATATATATATATTTTTATATGTCCATAAATATGTGTATTCTGATTTTTTTAGAGTTTTAAAAATAATTCCTTACAAAAAGGAATTCACTTGAGGATGTCTTGATTTTGAGACCACCTATTTTAGTTTATTAATCATTCTTAACCTAAAAATTTGGTACAAATATTATTAATAATATTCAAGAAATTTTGCATTTAATATTTTTTTAGTATTATAAATAATCATAAAAATAACAGTATGGTTCGAGTTTTTGGAATAATAAAATATTAATTTTTTTTTTTATATATGACTTAAAATTTAAGAAGTTAAAATCTGAAATTAAACCGATATCAAATTAAGCTAAATTTATTTTATTTTCAACTAAATTTTTTACATATCTATTAAGAAAAATCTATAACAATCTTTTAAATTTTATACGGATAAACAAGATTATAAAGTTTACCTAAAGTACCCTTAAAAATTACGTGGTATTTTATTATTTATTTATTTATTTATTACTTATTTATTTCTTTTTCATATCATGTGTATGTGGAATTAGATATATATAAATAAGCATATTAATAGTTTTTTTAAAATACAATTATCCTACTATTAGATGATAGAAATTATATAATAAAAATATTTTATTTAAAATTTATAGAATTTTAATTGAGGTTGTGGATGTGATAAATAACTACTCAAATAAAATTATGGACATAAAGCTCTATCGTAATTATTTAATGTATTCTTTTGCAAACAAAAGAAGTATTGAAGGATTGTTTTATTATTTTTAAAAATAAATGTGATTTTTTTTATATTTTATGTTAGATAATTTTGGTAAACTAATGCCTAAGATATATTTTATTTAAGTATTAAAGAAAATAAATAACTAATTGAATTATTTAATTTCAACTGTTAAGGACGGGGTAGAGTTGGAGTAGGGTTGAGCAGGTGGGGATGGAGCAGGATGGAATCATGGTGAAGTTGAGGTAGATGGGGACATGACAAGAACAAGGGAAGAGGGTTGGAAATGAGTTTAGGGAGAAATGACATGTACAAAATGAATCATGAAGTAGGAAGTGGGGTGTGGCTTCAACAACTTCTTATATATATATATATATATAAATTGCTATAAAACAAAATACCTCACAAAATACCTTACACTTAGCAATGTATGGCCATTTCCATATTAAAAATATTGATTATTATTTCTCAAAGCAATCTAAAAGAAAATATTGTTAACATGATCATTGATTATAGCATAGTGTTTACGAAGTAATTAAGAAATGGCCAAGGAAATATAGTTATAAAAATTTAGAACAAATTTTAACTCTACTTTAAATTATTATACTACCATTGAGCAATCCTTGATATTATTCTCAATATCAAATTAAAATTCTTAAGAATTTAGTTAGAGATTCTTCAAGGGTCATATTTTACTTTTCATAACTCAATACATTGTTGTCTTAAAATATGAATACTTTTCAAGATTCTAGCATTAGACTATCCATGGCATTAGTAAATGAATTAATACAATTGTAATCTTCAAGATCTTTGTAGCTCTTACGGGGATTTGCTTCAAGCTCTTGTAGTATAACAGATTTCAACAAAATTCCACATCATGTATATAAATATAAATATATATACTAGCGGAAATTCATGCCGTTGGGCACAAAAAAACTGGAAATCTTCTTACAGATTATACATGGGTTTTTGTTGGTTAATGATTTCTTTAATTCTGGCTAATGAGAAAGCTTCTTTGTCTCTTTATCTTACACCTAAACCTCTCATGCACATGTATATATGTGCATGAATGGAATTTTTAGAAGTTTTGCCGTTTTTAGCATCTGGTACCACATTGCAACCAGACACAACCCACCATCGGACCAACTAAACACGGGATGCATCGTTCTCAGCAGAAGGGGTGGAAGAAAGTGTGAGATAGTAGCTATGGGATTCAGCTGGGGGAGCGCTGAGCAGGATCTTGCTGCCTAGCACCATCCTGCGAGCGTACGCAGAGCCTGCTGTGCCAATATCACCAAGTATCACCGTGTCATCCTGCCATACGTGAGTAATCACAGCAGAGTCTGACGTGCCATACCTGAAGTAAAAATACACATACCCCAATTGGTATGATTCGCGCATGTTGTAGAACCCAGCAGCTCGATAACTTCTGCTTAAAAGCTCATCTGTCTTCTCACCCCAAAAGTGCCTGAAGACTTCAGGTTCCTGGGACTGAGCATTCGTCTGTCCAAGATATCCTCCCGTCACGGTCTTCACATTCATTTTCCTGAGCTGGTCTTTGTACTTGGAGCTCACGAAGAAACCACAAAGACAACCGTGTGCGTAGTCGTCCAGTTGTTTTGCCCAGCAACTACCTTGCAGGAAAGGTATCTGGATTGGGTTCAGGTATTTGTACTCATCCAGAGCTGTTGTAATTCCTATGTAGGCAATGGCCTCCTGGTCCAAAATCTCCACTTTCCTCGAGCTGTCGGTGTACAGCCTGAAGCTCGTCCCCACTAAAAAGTACGTCTGGGAACAGAGACAATCCGAATGGTTAATCCGAAGGTCGAAAACATTTTTACAATCGGAGGGGCAAAGTGGTAAACAGGCGCAGCAGCCATCGGAGGAAGATAATCCTTGACAGTAGCACTTGAAAAACGATTCTTAGCAGTAATCCCAGAGAGCGGGCATGTGCACTCACTCCGGAATCACCACCCATATGTTATATAATTCCTAGATTATTCTTCAACTTATCACCCTAGCTGACAATCCACGAGGCACAGATCTGATGGACCCACCTCTCCAACCTCATGACTTGTTGTGGTATCCTTGAGTCCACTTGCTGCACATATGAACACAGCTGAGATGTCTCAAACATGTTTTAAATGCGGAAAATCACAGTGGAGCAGTGTGACATGGACACATGTTAAAAAACTTTCTGTGGCACACATTAGTTATGAATACCTGCACACACTTCAGGTTCTCGCTTTGAAGCAATTTGCAGCGAAGGATCGCCAAGCTTTTGCACATGTTTGAAAGCAGACTCGGCAAGAGTTGCATTCAAACTCACGGCTTTCGCAACAGTGAGCATTCTGCATATATTCTGAAAGTTTGGTCTCTGTTGAGGATCCAGGTTCCAGCAGCTTTCAATGCAGAAACGCAGGCAATCAGGCAGGTTATCCGGCAAATCAGGCCTTAATCCATCTTTGATTTTCTCGTGAAGATCTTTTCTTTCAAGTACACGGTGAAAAGGAGTACGACCAGTGAGAATTTCTGAACATGTCATTGCAAAACTCCAAACGTCAGCCCTGGGAGGATAATTTGCCGTCGTGGTGCCATTCTCAGCTGGGAGGAAAACCTCAGGTGCCGCATACACCGTTGTGCCCAGCTTCCGAGTTTGAGCACCTAAGGTTTCAGTGTGCTGGTATACTTTCGATATCCCAAAATCTACCAACTTCACATGCAAAGAGTTTCCTTGAGTTTCCACTAGTATATTAGCGGGTTTGAGGTCTCTGTGGGTGATCTTACTCTTGGTGATCCTCTTACCGTGAAGGTATCGCATTGCTTTTGCGATCTGAAGCATTATGTCGATCGCCACAGGCAGTGCAAAGGGTGGACTGCCTGGATTCTTCTGCTTATTCTCCCAGATTTCAAGAGTGAGGTTCGTACGCATAAGTTCCATTAGTATGTAGGAATACTTCTCATCCTCCAGAAAACAATTCTTCATTTTGTCAATAGCTATACGGTCGGTAACGATCTGCTCCCAGGACCAAAAGTACTGCACGATATGTGGATGATAGCAAAATTTCAGAAACTTCCCCTCCAAAGCATTAGGTTCAAGAATTATTTTCACTGCTTGCTTGGGAATGTTCAGGTGCTCCAACCCCTTGGTTTTATATACGTAGCCATATGCACCTTCACCCACGCTCTCAACCAATTGGACCTTCTTTCCGAAGTACTCGTCTAAACATTTGACGTCACCATCAGGAATAGAGTTACCTTGTAACTCTTTGAGACGGCACTGCAAGTAGGTTACCAGCAGGTGATGCTCCGACCCCTTGTCATGCTTCGAAACCTCTTTCTCAAGCTTGGACAGCAGATGTGCCTTATCTTTATTAGCTGCCTTTTGCAAATCTTCCAAGTCGTCCGACAACTTGTCATAAAGTGATTTCTGCTGTGTTTCTGCCTTGGCCACGTTGCTATCTTCGTCAGTATCTACTGTACTATCCAAGTGGCTAGTAGTTGATAATTTCAACATGCGTGTGCACCATGCAAGCTCAAGTTCAATATCCAGCACATGCTCTTTGATATCTAGAAGGGCTACTGCTGCACAAAGCCACGATTTTCTGTTGCTGCACCTGCATTGCTTAAGCAAATCAGTTGCTCGTTTCATCACTGCCTTCAATTCTTGGTAGATCTTCTTTTGAATTCCAGTCATTTTCAAAGGATCATACTGATCATGTATGTGGGTTTGCGTCTTAGCAAGCTTCTTTTCTAAGCGCATGCAAAGTTCTACATTAATTTGAAACTTGCGTCTCTGTAATGAAGGACCAAATCCAAGGTAGAGAGACAGAAGTATCACCGCTACCAGAAGCACGAATACAATAGAATTCATCGTACTACCCACGTACTTTGAGATGAAGATATTTACCAAACAGTTACAGAGTTCTGTGCTACAAGCTGGAAAAATTCTGAACAATTTTGTTACCCAATAGACTTTAGATCCTGGATTCTCGAAGGTTGCCAACCACATGTACACGGAATAAGGAAACCCTGATTTCGAAGCTGGTCTGAATTACACATTCGCAATAAATCAAGTGCACAGATGAAAGAAACTAATGCTCAAATGAAGAGTATTGACTATTAAATCTTTTGGATGTGTTACACCTCAACATCCGAGATATCCGCGACCGCCCGATGAACCCACTTCCTTGGGATCTCGTAAAATTATAGGTCACAGCATCTTGCATCGTTCATGAGATCCTGACCAGAAAACAGAAACCGATTATCACCGGCAGATACAAGCCTCCACAAGGACCCTGAAGCCACCAGAACTCGTCCCACATGCCAATCCTCAAAGAGAAACCGCGAACATCAATCTCTGGCCACTACCAAAACAAGTTGCAACAAGAGCATGCGGCAGAGAACGGGTAGTCTTACAATCACGAAGTACTGTAGTGTGGATTACTGTATCTCTTGTAGGTGGGTGCCATTCTGCCACCTAGCTCAACCTCTACGCAAAATGCAATGCAGAAGGAGGAAAGCGGTCAACATTCACACATTCCAGAGTATTCCGAGAGCACTCAGTGCAGCTTCACAGATCGTCTAACGTAGTTTTTAGGGTTTACTGAGCACGTTGAAATGAGTCAAATGATTCAGCTTGACTCCATCAAGATGCTAATGCCGTTGTACAGACAATTAGTGCGGTACCGATTCGACAATGCTTTGAGCATTGTGCACTGTCCGTATACCGACAAGGTAGTCATTCTTAATTGTAACTTGTCCGGGTACTTACTCTTCCCCTCTATTGCCATGTGGATGGTGATGTGGATTTAACTTCCTTGGATTGTGTGTTCCTTGCCCAACACCCTCATCCCCCACCCACTCCATATTCCTTTCGTTTAGTCGTTTTTCAACAATGGGGGATATCGTGTAAATAGTGGGTCCAATGAGGCTTAATTTGACAGTGATAACATGTTGTTCAATCCCACCAGCATGTGCTCTGGGTTCCTGCCTACCATACCCTTCCCAACACCCCTCTTGAGTAGTTTTGTTTTAAAAAATAATATAATTATTACCATTATTTCTACACAAGAGGGGTTAAGTAAACGCATGGTCGGTATTTGGAATTCAAACTGTCAACGTTTTATTTTTGTTTATCCTTTTAGGTCCCACTTGCCATGTTGTAATAGTTGAAGATTCTTTTGCATTACTTCTTCTTGATGTATCTTGAAGTGTCTAGAATTTATTTTTTATATTTTTGTGTTGTTGACACATATGAAGAAAAACTTTACTGCAAATTGAAGGAGGCAGATACAGACACCCCGGCCAGATCTGGCCAGGATGGGTTACATGTACAAGCTAGGACAAATAAGTTTCCACTTGGGGTGATCCCAATCCCATATAGCAATTACTTAGTTGCAACACCATTGCCACTGGAATTCTTCCTTTATAATTTCTGCTGTATTAGGGGTCTTCATGATCTTTTCCTGTGTTGACACCCATGCCAATCTTCCATAGTCCACCAAGCTGAGTCCATATACATTATTCTGTATATTTTTTCTTTGTGCCAATGTCTACCTTTGAATGCCACATTGTTGCATTCCACATGATGATTCCACACAAGAGTTGCCAAAGTGTATTGGTTTTCTTGAACCTCTGAGGTATTATGTGTGCAAATATGCCATGTTTTGAAGTAGGATTAAGATTTTGAATGATGTTTCTTCTTGCTGTTTGATTGATGTCAGGTTGGGTATTCCTGCTTGCACAGTTGTCACATCATCCTTTACTTGAGGGCCAATTGTGTACATTTGCTATCATTTCTTCTTCTGTTGGATTAACACAAACACAACCACCTCGAGGTTGATTAGGTTGTGAATATTGTTTGGATACTATGAGTCTTTGTACAACCTTAAGGTCCCATAATCACATGAGGAAAGCCAATTCATATTTCCAAAAATAATATAAAATAGTTTTTTTTTTACTTGCTAAAGACATGAGATAACACTTATCTGCACTCTTATTTTTTTTGGTCCCTCCATGTGTCAATTGCAACAAATTTGTGTCATACCAACCATATAAGGCTAAACTCTTTGTATTCTCTTTGTTTGTTCCAAATATTTTTCTACTTGAGCTTACATAAGTTTGGTAAAATCTCAACTCATTTTTCTTCTATCACAATGGAAACCTAGTATCTCTTCTAAAGTAATTGCCTGCCTAATTGAGTTGAGTAGCTTAAGAAGTGGACATTATTAGGACAAAAAAAGAAGCCAAGCTCCCATTGTAGTCAATCTATGCAATTGTAGAATAATATTATGGTATTATCCTTCTGTTTGCATCTATTCAATTCTACCCAATTGTGATGCATAACTCTTTGTATATTGGTACTTCTATTAAAGCATGTGGATCTATATTATAGAGTATTAGCACTATTGGTAACTAAGGTGTGTGTATTAGCTTATATTTTAATCATCTGCATCAATGTATGGATCCAAGACAAGGCCAAGTTTAGCTATTTTGTGTATTCAAAGTAGGATTGAATAATTGTGTATGGAATGAAATCACCATCACTCTCGTAAATGCCAATTCAATCACATGTTTTTGTTTGATTCATATTAGAATACAACACATGTCTCCAATTGCACTACATTTGCTAGATAGTCGCTTTCCATGTTGATATTTTATCAAAGAAAAAGCCAAATCAAGCTTCTGCTTTGCTTGTAGAAATGAATCCCACCATGATCTATATGTCTTAATATCTTCTCATCTATGCTTTGTAAAGGTGAGATGCTTTTAGTTTAGAAAAGACAACACTATTCATTGGCATGGTGGAGTTGTGCCATAAGTTGTTACTCAATACATCCTTAAGATGTTCTAGGGGCATATATAAAATTTCTACTCGAGCTTTTTTTATATGGTAATTCTACTTCATTGATCCCTAATGATATTGATGTTTCAATAGGATTCATTATTCAAGGCTTAGAGCTCATTTTCTAATTTTTTTTTCAAATTTTAACTCAAAAAGTCAAACATCACAATTCAAACCTACTCAAAATCATGTCCTTGAGATTTATTCTAAAATCTTCTCGTACTTTTATATCCAAATATTGGGATATCTTATCCTTCTTGAAGTATACATGTTCAAAGTATAGCATCATCAGGTATATAAATCTACTCTTAGATATAAAACAAGCCATCATTGATATAATAATTTTGATATTATATATTATCCATCTTCAATTAATTGGTAATCATTTGAAAATAAGCATTGCAATGTTTTGCTTCTTTCTATTTTGTTCTTCTTATTAAATATGAAATGATACTATTAATGATAGCAACTTGTGCTTTATCATTTGATTTGGATTAAAAGTCACATCTGCATAATAAGATGTCTAGGGCAATATATTTTTGTCCTTGGTTATACTCAAGTTGAATGTCAAAGAGTTTCAACTACTCTTCTCAATAACGATGTTGTGATTTTATATTTTTTAGATATAAATCATATAGCAAAGGTCAATGGTCAGTCCAAAGAGTCATTGGTTTCTTCAACAAATAGTATTGCCACACCTTTGTGGCATATACAATTGCTAATTGCTCTCAATTATGTATAGAATAATTATGCTTTATCCTTCTAAGTTTGAATTATTCATACACCATAGATTGAAGGCCTCTACCAAAGTCTTCTTAAAGAACCATGCAATAGCAAAGCTGAAAGAATCAATATCAAGTATACATAGAAGATTGGAATTATATAGTTATAGTATTAGAGTAATAATTAGTGTCTCTTTTAATTCCTTGAAGGCCCTTTTTTGTTCTACTTTCTATTCAAATGGAACACCCTTCTCCAATAAGTTTGTCAATGAGGCAACAATGTGAAGAAATCGCCAAGTAAAATGGCAATAGTATTCAGTAAGGCCTAAGAATGAATAAACTTTAGAAGCACCTTTAAGAGTTGTCCAATCTTCTATTACTTTCACCTTGTCTTGCTTCATACACATGCCTTTAAACAATACTATATACCCTAAAAAGATGACCTTCAACTTTCAAAGTTCATACTTTGATTGCTTGCAATAAAAATGACTATTACATAGCTCGTACAATACTTTCCATAGATTTTGCTCATGCTTTTTAAAGATTTTACTATAAATTAAGATATCATCAATAAAAATGATTACATAATTATTCAAAAGGTCCCAAAATAATCTATTTATTTGATCCCACAAAAGAGACTAGAGCATTGGTGAGGCCAAAATGTAATACAAGCCACTCAAAATGTCCATAGTAGGTACAAAATGCCATCTTTTTTATATCTTCTTTGGAAATAGGAGTCTGTCAATAACCTTTCCAAAGATCTAATTTACTAAAGATGGTTGCATATCAAAGTTGATCAAAAAGATCATCCACATTTAGAAGTAAATATGTATTTTTGATAGTGTTCTTATTGAAGCCTCGAAAATCGATACAAAGTCAAAGTCACCATTTTTTTTAGATGCAAAGAATACAAATTTTTTTCATGGAAATGTACTTTCTCAAATGAGACCCTTTTCTAAGAGTTTTTCCAATAATTTTGTAATTCTTCAAGTTCATTTCATATTAGGCAATAAATTGGCCAACTTACTATTTTGGTCCTAGGTACTAATTCTATTTGGAAGAGGGTACCTCAATCAAGTGGCATGCCACTATGTAAATTATTTGCAAAGACATTTCAATATATAAGTATGAATTTTTTTACTCTTTCTACTCCTTTGGCTGTCTTATGTACTATTGAGACAAGATTCAAAACTACCACATATATTAATTGCCTATGTCATATTTATTTCTTCATAAAGATTATTCATACAAATAAGCTTTTAGCCACAAATTATTTTGCTATCTTACTTGATATATGAATAAAAAGAGTCATCGTTTATCCTCTATCTTTGAAAGAAATTATCTTTCTTAGCCAATTGACTTATTCATTTTTCACTTCTAGGTATGGCATATTAAAGATTTTATCATATTTAAGCTTTGTTACCTTTATTGGAAAGTTTATTTTTTTTATTCTACTTCTTCATAAACTTGGTGGCCTGTGAGGTTGTAAATCCACTCTGAATTGTTGGTGCTTGAACTTTGACATTTTGAATACTCTTTAATTTAATGGTCTGAATCTTAACAATAAAATTACAATTCTTTTTGTACCAATATTTGTCATCTCTATAATATCAAGGTCTTTGGAGAGCATCAATCTCCATTGATGTTGGTTATTGTATTATAGTATTGGCTAATAGCTTAATACCTTGCGTTATAGGTCGTACTCCTCAATTTTTGAAATCTATAGCATTAACCATCTTTGCAAACTTAATTGCATCTTCAAATGTTTGTCAATCCCTTAATTCTATATCTTGCTAGACTACAAGTTTCAACCCTTATACAAATCGATCTATCATCTCTACCTTTGAAACATTATCAATTTGGAGATATAAAAATTAGAATGAAGAAACATAATCTTGCATTGACCTAGATTATATAAGGTTAGCTAAGTGATTGCATGCTAATTTCTCCACATCAATGGGCTAAAATTGACTCTTATACTTGTTTTCAAATCTCTCCAAGTCACAAAATTTATCTATTTTTTTCTAATTGATTTCTTAAAATAACTCATTATAGCTCCAAAATAGTATTCAAATTGATTACAATAATTAACTTTTAAACAAACGATGGCTATCAATACACTACCG